ACTTAATTCATCAAAATTAAACTTGAACAGACTCGAAACACACTCTGACTCTGCTCCCGAGCAGAGGCGAAGTGTGTCGATTGAGTTCGAACAAAATTGTAAATGGAAAGCGACGTGTGTCGATTTGTGTCAAGTGTGTCGACTGTGTCTCCTAAAAGGAAAGCAGCCTAAGATAGACCCAGCATCTATAGGACATGTTGGGGTTTGGCAGAACGGTGCGAGAGGCAAGATATCGGGGCAACCTGTCTTTCTCTGCGCGTGCATCTTGACTGATCTTGACATTCTTGACAAAATCAAAATGGCTGACTACGTTAGGATCGTCTGGATTCTTTGCCCATTGTGTTACTTTGCGTCACCCAGTATTCTGATGGGCAAGGAAAAAATATTCTGTTACGCTTAAATGAAGCATATGTTGTACGTATTGTATGCATATACATAAGTAGAGGTTAAAATGTTTTATTTACGTCTGAAAGAATATTTTTTCCTGTTTCAAATTTCTTTTGATACCCACATGCGTTGCACGTCTCCATATTCAATTTTTTTTACAAAAGAAACAATACTAACAGTTATTAATAATAGGTGCAAAGAATACAGACAATTCTAACGTAGGCAGCCATTTTGATTTTGTTAAGATTGTCAAGATGCGCGCGCAGAGAAGGACAGGTTGCCCCGATATTTTGCCTCTCGCACCGTTCTGCCAAACCCAGCATATACTATAGAAAAGTATACGAATGCTGGGTCTATCTTATATGTCTATGCTTAAGACGGTCTTGAAATAAGACTCAACTATGAATACCGGCCTAAGACTTGTAAGTTTATCACAGTTCGAACTTAATATTAATCGCACCAATTACTCGATTATCGAGTCTCATAATCTAATTCAATACTGTAACAAAATAAAGAATTCTGATTTAAAAAATGTTTCTATAGAAGTGCAATGTGAGCAGGCTGTGAAAAAGATTTATGCGATGATCCAATATATGAATCATTACTCAGAAATGAGACTGATCTAAGTGATGTAGCGCAAACTGTCATTGTATTACTTAACAGGTGCCTTATTATTTAAAATTAAGAAAAACTTTAAATATTGCAATCAATGTTTTAATACTTTAATAACTGATTACAGAAATGATTCTAATAATAATCAAAGTTTCTTCATTAGATTAAGAGAATTTAAGAAAAATGTTTTAATATATCCGAGCATAGAAATATATAACATTGTATACAAATGTGAGTTATTATTTAGAAAAAATGAACATAGCTTAATCTCTAATAAGTTAAAACCTATAGAGTTTGTACAAATTTTTTAAAATAATTGTTGTACAGACTTTGTACCATCTTGCCACAATATTGTTTATAAACTTATTAAAACATTTGTTATAACACGCATCCGCTTTACTCTAAAAAAGGAAAATAATATTACAGAATCAAATACACATAGTAGTAGAAGCGTTGCTATGAAATCATATGTAAATAAGAACAATCATCGTAAATAAAAACACTGATTAACATCATTTATGATTTTCTTTATTTATAAAACACATTCATACTCATATGCATGTTTTGAATGAACCGCGTGTTGGAGCCAAAATGGCGGAATGATTGCGGTACTTTATAAATCTAGTGACTTTAGTGGGATCCGAAAAATGAGGCGATGTTGAGACTGCTGGGGTGCGTTCCGAATGAAAATTTTTCATCCGGACAAGGATGTCCATGGGTAATGTGACGTCACACGCTTGGACGTTTCCATTCTGAACGAATAGTTTTACTGCTTAAGGTGTATATAGTATATACCGATACAGACAGTAGTGTGAGTGGCCAAATTTACACAAATTAATTATAATACTATAATGGCATTATTTAATTGTTCAGATTATCAACTGGTTGTAAACGTTGATAATACTGTAATTTATGATGAGAAAGGAAACATATTACTTCAAAATAAAAAAGGTATGTTTTATATTGTAGGTTAGTTTTTTATTTATACTTTTATAATGATATAATTTTTAATTACAGATCAATCAGTGATGTTTGTGGATTATTCCGTAGCTGCTAAAGCTTTTGACTGTTTAAGAGCTACAGAAGATGTACAGGAAACATTCGCATCCCAAAATTCAATGAGTAGTTCATGTTCAATTTCATCAATGTCTGACAAAGAAAATCGCAATCCTTGGACAAAGAACGAAATCTTAAAACTTTTATCGCTTTACAAAACTCATAATCATTTATTTAAAAGCACTACTATCAAAAACGAAAAAGTATGGTCCATGATAAGTGGAAACTTAAAAAGTCACACTACTGAACAGTGCAAAAATAAATTCAAGTATTTAAAACAGAAATATGTTGAGAAAAAAGATAATATGAGCACAAAAGCAAGTGGTGCTGCAAATATAAAATTTGAATACTTCGATGAAATGGATCAAATATTTAAGGACGACGCAAACATAGTACCTGTCAGTATCGCCTCTTCTTCTAGAGGTGAACACAATTTAGAAAATATTAAGGAAATTGTCGAACCAAATAAAGAGTCTAATTCAACAGATGACAATATCTCAACTGTAAAAAATAATCTATCTAAATCTAAGAAGCCCCTAAAAAGAAAAAGGCTTCAAATAGAACAAAAATTTGATATTTTTGAGAAAAATTTACAACAAAGAGAAGAATTAAAAAATCAAAGACACAGAGAATTGATGGAAAGACAAGATAATGCCTTAAAATTACTGGAGAAGATGACAGATTGCTTTGTCAACATTGCAAATAAAAAATAATGTAGGTACACAATCATATATTTATTAATTACATTATTGACTTTACCAAATACTATACTCGATGTGGTTGAATAAACTTTCAAAACATTTGTAATTACTATTTCAGACTGTTACTGAAAAAAAGGTATTTCATTTTTTTTCCAGGAGTACACAAATGTATCGATATTATAAGTAGTCGGATAGTCGGATCATGAATATTGTATGGTATTACTACCAATCAAATTGCAACTTTCCAGAAAAACTCCACATTTAGAATCCAGCCATAGAAAGCTGAATTGAAACGCATACACATTTTGATTGTATGTTTGTGATTAATGTGCAATGTTATCGTCTTCAATTTAGTTTAAGTTTTAGGAAGAATTCACACCTTAACAGGAAAACAGAAACTAATCAGAACTCGCATTCAGCAATAGAAAGATAGAAACAGAGAAGCAGAATGTAATGCTTACTACCATCGCAAGTTCTGATAAACCTTTTCTGTTTTTCTGTTAAGTGTGTGTAAGGTGTGAATTCTCCCTAAATATTATGTTTAATCTGAGTAAAGAATAAAGGTACAATTTTACGAATATCATGTGATATTAAAGAATATATCAAAGGATCATGTAAATTGACAAATATCAAGCTTCAATTTTAATCACATGATCCTTTTTGTTGCTGAAACAGCGAATTAAAAGCATTCGTGAAAATATACCTGAAGGTTCTTTTATTATATAATATAATTTTATATATCTGTTCTAACAAACTTTAAATTCTATTGCTAAAAATGTTTATATTTTTTTTTAAGTAGTTGTAGTTTATAATGTTAATAATAAGTGAAGATATGTAACAACTCTTTAGAGCCGAAGGTGTTGGAGTCTTTCAATTATTCAAAAAATACTTTTAAACATAATTTATGATAGCCATATTCTCTTGAAATATTTGACAAACTAAGCTATATTGCAAAATAGGCTATATTACAAAATAGGTTATATATGTTATACCTTCTAAGAAATTAAAATAATACTTTTATTTTTGTTCATAAAAAATATCTTTATTATTTTTTCACGAGAAAAATAGTTTATATTTTTGTATTTTTTGTTTACATTAATTATAATACAACCAAAGAGAATATTTGTACCAAATATTAACAAGATCTCTATTAAGGGGATGCTGGACTGAAAATTGCCGGTAATTTTGCAGTTTGATTTGAATCTCCGAATTTACTTAACGGAATCAAAAATCCTTTTACAGGATTAAAATAGATGCAAAATTCTATCGTGGTAGTATATATTAGTACAAAAATCGGAAGAAAAGTTAAAAACTTACATTTGTT